GACGCCGCCAGCGACAGCTCCTGAACGCACCCTACGGAACCCACGTGGGATGAGGCTGGCCATGAACCCACAGGGCAAGTGGCTTCCGATACTGCTTTTCCAACCAAAGCATGCCAAAATTTTCCTAGCCTAGCCCTTCAGAAGAACGCACGCCATTTAGTGTTTTGCTTTCCTTTCTCTTTTCTCTTTTCCTTTTTAACTTTTGATGCGGTTCCTGATGAGGATGGAGGCCGTGCTGGGCCTCCTCTGCCTGTTGCACACCAAACAGAAACTCATCGCAGTGCCCCGAAGGCCACGGAGCCTCCCCGGGACAGCAGATAACACATCATGTCCCGGGGCAGGCTCGGCTTCAGCTCCGTGCGTCAGCCTTTTGCTTTTATTTTTTCTCTTTTTAACCACAGGTAGAGTCGAAATCTCGCCTAGATGTGAACACACGATAAGGAAAGAAGGAAAGAGGTGGCTCTGGTGGCTCCCTCCCTGCCGCAGGACCACAGCGACTTCCTGCCGCCTCCTCCCGGCCCCTCCTAAGTACCGGCCCGTGCGGCCCGGAGCCCTCGCTGCCTTCCTGAGAGCCCCAGCGGGCTGAATCCCGCCCTTGGCCCACGCGCTCCCGGGGAGGAGGGTGCCCGGAGGCAGCTGACGTAGCTCCCCGTCACCCCTCGCCTTGTGATGTGTGGGCACCGCGGCTCGGAGCTGCTCAAGGGTCTATCTTGTTTCCTGACAGGCCCGTAGATAAGGCCCCCCGCGTCGAGGTGGCTGAGATAGCCCCTGTCGTGGCGGCCCGGCCCACGGCGGTGTCATGTCGCTGGGGTAATTGGGTATTTGATAGAGAAAATAGACACCTGCCAGGAAGGAGCTGACCCAGGCAGGCACTCAACAGCCCGCATGGCGGGAGGGCGAGCTGCGCCGGCGCCGAAGGGCCGTTTCAGCGCCCGCGCGCTGGATAACGCGCTGATCCTGCGTTTTCGTCACCTTCAGCTCTCGCCTGCACGAATTCAGGGCTGTCCTGCAGATCCAGCTCACCCGCGAGCAGCACGGAGAGCCGCGCAGACCCAGCAGCTCCCGCGCTGCCGGGAGGAGACGTCTCCTTCGAGCTCCTCAGCGTCTGCTCCCGATCCCTGCACAGATCCGCAAGGCTCCCGTTGGGACAGGCTGAGATCCCGAGCGCTCCACGCACCCCATGAGTCCAACAAGTCCCAGGTCCTATCAGTGATATTAATTCTACATTAAAATCGAGCTGATTCCTTCCCTACATGTTCAGGGTGCTGCAGTTTTGGGTTGTGCACGTAGTCAACTGACTTTTTGTTGAGTGCAGAGCTTAACCCGACAGCCAGGGGCTGTTTTTCATGGAAAACACACGTATACGTATA